CACATATAGAGTTCTTGATAGGGTCTTGATCTCTATCTCTGACTCCATCTCTTCATTTTCCTCAAAATCATCATCTTTGAGGGGTTGCTTTGCTCCTTCATCGAGTTTCCCTGGACAATTTGTTTCATGGATTCATATGTGTGGACAAAAAGCAAGATTAAATATCTCTATAAAAGGTTGTTTGAGTGGGTATTTTGGGGGCTCAAAGAGGGGTCCATCAGGGCGGCCCTTTGTCGCGATATATATTCCAATTGCAATAGAGGGGTTGTCATCATTGCTCAGCTTGGAGGCAAATGCAAGCATGCTCCCTTTTCACCCACAATGTAAGAAGATTTCCTTAACCCATTTATGCTTCATCGATATTTACTAATTTTTACAGTAGGATCAGTACAACCGATAAAGTCAGCTCGAAGGATTTTAAATGCATTTTATAGTATGTCTGGCCTTAGATGTAATTCAACTAAGTGTGATGTTTATTTTGGTGGATAATCTATTAAGTATAAGAAGACAACTTTGCAACAAACGGGTTATAAATAAAGTTCATTACATGTTAGATACTTGGGACTCCCATTGATTGCAGGAAAGCTTTCTGACAGAGATTTGAGGTACTCGTTAGTAATCTCAAGAAAAAGATTACCTCAAAGAGGGCCAAATATCTCTTATACGCTAGCACGTTGTAGCTGATTTCGTCGATACTCATGGTGTCATCTTGTTATGACTTAAGTGTTTGTTTTTGCTAAGAAATTCTTCAAGCAAGTTCAGAAAGTTTTTGCAGATTTCCTAGCTATGGTATGGTGAGAAGTCTGGTAGAGCAAAAGTGGCGTGGGATCATGTTGCTCACCCAAAGAAAGAAGGAGGTATTTGTATACATGACTTAATTACCAAGAATCAAGCTAGCATGATTCGAATGATATGGTTAATATTGATTCAAAGTGAGACTTTATGAGTAACATATAGACCATATAGTATGCTCCACACTGTTTTTGGCGTTTCATCAAAGTTTGAAGCTTCGAACTCTAGTGCAGCCTTACATGAGCAGATCTCATGATGGTGTGTTGTGGGAAGGAAAGCCTATGCAAAGCTACTCTGTGAGAAAGGTATGAGATTCTTTATTGCCTAAAAACAATGTAGTGACTTTGTCAAAGTTGATATGGAACAAGTATATGGTCCCTAGGTTTGGTTTTGTCTTTACCAAAGTAGACCATGACATCAATTGGATTTTCAATTGTCTTTACCAAAGTAGACCATGAAGTATATATACCACAAGCTAGATAATAACATGTATTGTACCATTTGTTATTTCCCTTAAATCTCAAATGTGGCGTTGAACGGTTCTCAATACGATCAAATATTGTAGATTTGACCGAGAATGTTGACTTCATTCATAGAACTTGCACTCCCAAAGAAGGCATGCCATATCCAAGTATTATACCCTGAAACCGCTTCAAGGACCACAATAGTTCGATGGATGTGGCTGGTGTACTAACTTGCCCAAGCAGTAGGAAAATTCCTCCATTCCTAATACATGCAATCAATTGACCCAATCATTGTAGGAAATCCACGTTGAGAGGCTTTCCTAGAGGAGTTTATCTAGATCTTCACATGTTGGTTCATGAAGCTATCTAGGTCCAAACACATGTACAATTGCAATTCATAATTTCTTCAACGTCATCAGAGTTGTAGTCTCATCAATCTAAAGGTATTCATCAAGATTCAAGAGAATCAACTGTGGGACCATAAGCTAGCCTGCACATAATAGCCGTAATTTTCACTTCAAATGATATAGATTTATTACAAACAACATCAACTGATACGAGAACGGCTCCGGTACCCGTAATTATCAAAGTAACGCACCAAGGAATAGGGATAAAATGATAGAGATAGGATGGAATTGAAAGTGAAATCTCAACACGGAATCGGGAGAAGGCTCAAGCAATATAGAAAAGTAGAATCTCGACCACAATCAAGGGGAAAACTTGATTGATACAGAGAAAAGTTGAATCCTCAAGATCAAAACCAATGTAAAAATCAATATTATGCTAAAAGCTAACCTTAAAACCCGAGTTTCGGCCTTTTATATAGGTCTGGGCAATTAAAACAACTTAAACATTGAAAAATCCCTTCACCAGGTCAAATACCCTGTCGGACCCTACAAATACCCGGTCAGGTATTTAAGTGTCATGCCCGGGGGTCTTCTGATCCCTTCTACCGGCCTTCTGCTCCTTTACCCGGTCCCTCATCCAAATTACCCGGTCGGGTATTTTCCATGCTTGGTCAGGTATTTCTTTCTTGCAGGGCGACGCCTCTCTCTCTTGGCCGGTCAGCAGGGAACGCATCAGCCTTCAAAGCTTGTGTTTTCTTGCAAGGAACAACATTAACAGTACTTCCAAATGGACTTTTCCTCAACGCAGTCAACATGTTCATTTGAACCATCAGAGGGTTCCACCTCCGATTTCGAAACACTTGCACTTCCTTTCTCCTTGGACCAGTTCATTGCCAGCTGTTGTTGATCTTTCCGGACTTCAGCTGTTGACAAGGGATTCAGTAGAAACATTCGATCGCCTTTCTTGAACCGGTAGTTGTTGTGCCTTCCATCATGAATGACCTCTCGATCGTATTGCCATGGACGACCAATAGGAGATGGGCAGCCTGCATTGGTGCAACATCACACCAAATCTCACATGCATAATCACCGATATGAAAACAAACATTGGCCTTCTTGTTGACTTTGATGTTCCCATAGTCTTTCACCCAATGCAGAGTGTATGGTTGAGGATGTTTGATGGTGCTCAACCCCAGCTTCTTGACGACATCCAGGCTAATCAAATTGGTGCAGCTACCACCATTGATCACCATGGTTAACACCTTCCCTTCGACCAGGCAACGAGAATGGAAAAGATTATCCCTTTGCTCCGACTCTGTGTAAGCTTCAATGGATAAAGCTCGACGGTTCACTCCAAGAAGTTTACCTGCTGGAGGTTTCTCAGCCTTGATGTGCTCATCCACATCGTCATCTTCAGAATCAGCATCAAAGCCGAATCCATTTCCCATGGGCTTCTCTTCATACTCCTCCTCATTAAAGTACTCACCATCTCGCAAGACAAGAGTTTTTGTAACATCCCTACCATCATACTAATTATTACGTCATAATGACGTGTTTGTGATCGGGTTACAAAAATTGGTCTTTTGAACCAAAAAGAAAGTGAATAGTGAAAGTTTTAGACTTAATTGCAAGAGAAGGAAAGTTTAGAGCCAAATGGGCAATTTGGAGGCTTGGAGAATTCTAGAGAAGGGGAGATAAAAATCTGCTCATTCCCTCTTCTCTCTCATTTTCTTCTCATCTCTTTCCCTCACTCTCTCCCACGTCCCTCTCTTGCTCTCTTTCTCCCACCTAGTTTCACCACCCAAAAACCACCATCCCTATTTTCAGAAACAAGGAGTAGAGAGATAGAAAGAAAGGATATCATTTAGCAAATTTGAAAGTGAAATTGTATAAGCAAATTGTCTCTGTTTATCATCTGTTTTATGTGTTTTGACTAAGATGGGATGTGAACATGTTTACTTGATTGATTCAGTGGAATGAAAAGTGTGATAAACAACTTAAGTCATGTTATGTGCTAGGGTGTTTCTACTGTTTTTGTATTGATGTCGATCTGAGCTTAGAATTTATTCACTGAGCTACGACTCATCCTTCGTCACCATTTTTCCTCAGATCAAGAGCAGAAGTAAGGTGTATATTGTAGATATCGAGACTCATGCTTAAAGGGAAGCCATGAGGTGGGCGGAGGACTCCGAACTCCTTAAATGTGTTATGTTGTGTGGATTTTGTAATAAAGCGGACTTCCCCAGTTTCTGTTTTGACTCTGATGCAAATGTAAATTATGGTTTGAAGTTTGAAAAAAATATATATAAAGCTCGGGCCCGAGAATGTTTAAACTCGATGTATTTTACTGTTTCATTTTATAATGTAAAGTAAGGGAGTTACATTTTTTGTATCAGAGTTGGGATATGATCCCGTGGATACCAAACGTTTTAAAAGAGTTTTTTACTGGGAAAACTTAAATGATTTCACGGGGAAGTGACTAAATTATTGATTTTGACTCTGTATTTTGTTTTTATGGAGTTCGGTTAAGGAGCAGATCCGCAACCTCACGGGAATCCTAATGCTTGAGGTTCTAATCTGTCGCAACCGCACCTCGAAATCGATATCGCTCACGAATTTGCTCGGAGTCGCCATCGACCTTAAAAGTAGTGGGCCGAGCACTAATTGGATCGGTCTCGACCTTAGGATCGACACCGGGATTTGGTCTGCGAAATTTTAGAAATTCGGATTCGGGAGTACGGTTAGGGGAAGTGTATTCACACCCTACAACGCCCAAAAAGGTACTACTTAAATCGATAAGTTTTAAAGGGCTGGGTGTTTAAATTGTTAGTGATTTAACTTAAAGTCCTATTGGACTAGTTAAGATAATTTGAATTTCGTATACTATTGGTACACGATGAGATTTTACGTCTATTGACATATATCTCGAAAAATGAGAAGTTATGGTTAGTTGGAATCAATTGATTAATGATTATGAAAAGATTCCACCATAAAAAATTATTATGCACTATTAACCCTGATTTCATTTTATTGGATCTTTAGGAAAAAAAAAATATATATATATATGTACAAATGCGTAATGACGTAGTGAAAAAGATATTTAGAAGATTTTGATGTATGAAAATAATGACGATCTAATTAGATCAAAATTTCTAATACGTTTAATTAATTAGGTATTAAGCATGATAAGGAATAAAACTAGACGAGGGGCCTAAAATGTTCAAGGATTGTCATGTAGCTTAGTGGTTTGTTGCATTTAGTGGCGAGGTTTTAGGTTAATGTCGCTGGTTCAATCCTCGAGAGCACCATTTTTTGCTAATTTAAAGAGGGGAGGGGCAGATCAGTCATTTAGATAGCGGCCAGAGGTATATAATGGACTTAACCTAGGAAACCCTAGGCGCCGCTCCAATCTTCCTCCCTCTCGTCTCTTCACACTGTGACACGAACCAAGAAGGAAAAAACCCCAAAAAAATATATCGTCTCTTTCCTTTCCATTTTCCCTTTTGAAATCCGAAACCCTTCTCCATCGATTAACTTTCTTCGTCCTTCTGAGAGACAAAACAAGGATAATCCCTTTTTCTCATTCCACCTCGGAATCGAGGAGATCCCGGCGTAAAACGCGCCATCCGAGCGCCGATCAGCTTCTAAATTGACGGTAAGTGGCTGATTATGGTCTTGCATGTTCGATTTTCTGGGTTTTTATTGGATTTCGGGCTCAAGGTTCTAATATTATTCTCATTTTTATTTTTGGGTTCGATCGAGGGGAGAAAGGAGAGATAGATATCGTCGGCCGGCGAGGCTATCCGACGACGATGTGAGAAGGGAAAGGTCGACCGTCGAACTCTATTTTCTGTGAGTCTTCTCGTCGCTTTATGTGGGTTTTCAAAGGGTTTCGGTTGTGTATATTTCTGACTTTGATTGTTTGATTTGTAGGTTTCGGAGGTGGCTTAGATCTAGGTGAGTTTCTCCTGTTTACTACGGCTGGGGAGATTAAACTGGAAATAAGAAAATCATGTTGCTTGTGGATAGGAGAATGATTCACAGATCTGGTATTTTGGAAAGATGTTTGTGTGGGTGACGATTTTGAATCTGGGAATATTGTGTTAATATGACTTCAAATTTCGTAAATTTGTAGTTTATGTGGATCTGAAATCGATTTATGGATCTCAGTTTTTGGAAAATGGTCGTGTTTGTGTATTTTCGATTGTGGAAAGGGTCTATACGTGGGATTAAAATCGAAAATCTGTGGTTTGCTTGTGGATTTGGCGACTTTTGGGACTTAGATGGTTGAGGATGGTGTGGTGATTTTGTTGTTTATCTATTCTATATATGCATGATATATTTTTATGTATGTGCAAAAATGATGCGAGAATTGAAATATGACATAAATAAACGAACTAGTAAATAACAGAATTGGTAGCAACAATACTACGTAATAAGAAGTCTAACTGAAAGAAAGATAAAGAAAGAGATGCTGATAATGGCAATAGTAGAATGATATTGATAAAAAAATAAGTAGTAGAGAGGAGATTAAATCAATAGTATATTATTATAACTGGAATATAAACCACCTTGTTGGCTCAATACAAACCTTGTTAGGCTTTTGTTTGCCTTGAGGTTTTCTGCTTATACTTGACAGAAGATAAAGAAGGAGAAAAACTGTTGTATGTCTCTTTCTATTTTCTCAGCAATCTCTCTCTCTCTGAACTTACTAAAAAGGAGAAGAGAGCTCTGACAGAAAGAGCTCTGAACGAAACAGTTTTTTCTCTCGTATTTCCCTTCTCAAAGCTCCCCCCTTCCCTTGGAAATTGGGCCTCCATTTATAGAAAAAGTGAGGCGGTGGTGTCTGGGTTTGGCCAGACCGATTTTGGTTCGACCGATCCGTTGGTCGGTTGGGATGGTTGGGCCGACTCGGGTCGCTGGCGTTGGGCTTTGCGTCTGGGCTTGACCAAACATCAACCCTGGACTGGGTCTGCTTCTAGTTAGGCTCTCGGGTTTGGACCTAGACTTCAGGTTAGAAACCTGGTCTTGAACTAATGGGCTTGTCTTGATCTGGGCCTCACTGACTTGGCTTCTCTCTTGTTGTTTGGCAGGTCCATTGCTGGCTTCAAAAAGAGAATGAAGAAACTTGCAATTGATTGTGATTTTCATGTAATATTTTTGATTTATGATTTTGATTGTAATTGTGATTTAGTAATTTTAATAAAAACATGTTTATTCCTTATTATTAATGTTGTGCTAAAAGCTGAGATTGGAAGCAAATCGATCCTACTGGAACGGAATTCAAATAAATTGTACAATCGTCGATGTTTTAGACTTGCAATGCACAATCTAATTATCTTACGACATTTCAGGATTTAAGTTGAAATTTTTAGTTGGATAATTTACCCAGACAAAATGAGGTGTCTACATAATCTTAATGGGAATAATGTTGAGTCCCGCATTAGAGCCAATCCTTATGTCAAGGATTTTGAAAAGCTGAGGAATATGGGGGCTAAGTTCTTTAAAGGGGCTATTCACCCTAAAGATGCTCTGGACTGGATCAATGATATGGAACAAATCTTTAACCTCCTTGAGTGTCCTAATGCAGCAAGAGTGGAGTATATGTACTACCTGCTTAGGTCTGATGCTTATGACTGGTGGTCGACCGTACCCGGGGCTCAGGATCGTACAATTTGGTATATACATGGGCGTAATTTTTTGAGAAATTCCATAAGCAATATGTGCCTGATCTGTATGTGGATAGGAAGAAGAAAGATTTTCTGGACCTGAAACAACAAAGGGGGCAGACTGTTAAAGAGTATGATGCCATTTCCATCATTTGATGAACTTCGAGATGGAGTTGGTACCTACTGAACGAGCTAGATGCAACCGCTAACAAGGCCTAAATCCTCGAATCAAGATGATAGTAGCAAAATCGGAGATGACTGATCTTGCCACCTTGAGAGAGGCTGCCATGAGAACAGAGGATTTGGTGAATGAAATGGGAGCACAGATGGCTGAAGGAAGGAAGAGAAAGTGGAAGAACGTGGGTTCTTCGAGTGCTAGGAACTCATTCAGGGGTAGCCCTAATCAGAGTCAGAGGGTTTCACGTCCAGTGGCCAGTTACCCCGGACAGGAGAGGAGAAGTGAAGGTCCAGCTCCTATTTGCCCACATGTGGGAATCAGCATATGGGTGTTTGCAAGAGGGTGACTGGTGGGTGTTTCCGATGTGGAGACACCAGCCACTTTCTCCGAGATTGTCCCCATATGCCAGAGTCCGGGCCTGCTGGATCCCAGACTACAATTCAAGGGTCTAAAAGGAATGGAGGTCAGTGAGAGGATAAGGAAGAAGTGTTAATAATCGTTGCAAAAGTCAGGGTGGACAGAGCAGTCGGGATGAAGTGCAGCCACAAGCTTTTGCTATGACTAGGAGGGAGGCTGACATCTCTCCAAATGTCATAACTGGTACGATTCTTATCTATGATCTTATCGCTTATGCGTTGATTGATCCTGTTGCTACTCATTCATTCATATCCTGGGTTGCCTGTGCACTCTGAAATGTTGAACAAGAATGTAATAGTTCAAACCCCAGTAGGGGATACCGTAGTGATTGAATATGCCTATCCTGATGCCCTAATAAGTATAGCTGGAACTATTCTGCCAGCTAACTTATTGAGGTTAATGTTGACTGAATTTGATATAATTCTGGGAATGGATTGGTTAAGCCAACATTAAGCCGTAATGAACTGTTATACCAAGGAATTAATTTTCGAAAGACCAGATCGTTTGAATGTGATATTTCGAGGGACTAGACAGGTGGTGCCTAGTTGCCTAGTCTCGGCTACCAAGGTGGTGAGTCTGATGAAGGAAGGCTGTGAAGTGTATCTGGCTTATGTGACTGAGAGCAAACCGGAATCGAAACCTGAAGATGTTTCGGTTGTGAAGGAGTTACTGGATGTGTTCCCTTCGGAACTACCAGGATTACCTACGGAAAGGGAAACAAAGTTCACTACTAAACTGATACCGGGCACTGCTCCGATCTCTGTATCTCCGTACCGGATGTATCCGTTAGAACTGAAAGAAGTGAAGGAGCAACTTTAAGAGTTTCTAGATAAGGGGTTTATTAGACCTAGTGTCTCCCCTTGGGGGCTCCGGTATTATTTGTGAAGAAGGATGGAACTTTTCGTCTATGTATTGACTACCGGAAGCTCAACAAGTTAACAGTTAAGAATAAATATCTGTTACCTCAGATTGATGATTTGTTTTACCAACTACAAGGATCGAGGGTATTTTCCAAGATCGCGGATGAGTACATACCGAAGACAGCTTTTCGTACTAGGTATGGGCATTACCAATTTCTTGTTATGCCTTTCGGGTTGACAAATGCTCCAGCTGTGTTCATGGCACTGATGAACCGAGTGTTTCAGGAATATCTGGATAAGTTTGTGATCGTCTTTATTGATGATATTCTAGTGTATCTGGAGGTTAAGAAGAGCACCGAGAGCATTTGAGAATCGTACTATAGATTCTGAGGGAAAAGCAGTTGTATGCTAAGTTCAGCAAATGTGAATTTTGGATCGATCAAGTAGTATTCCTGGTCCATGTGGTGCCTGAGAGAGGTGTAGAGGTGGATCCAAGGAAAGTCGAAGCAGTGATACAATGGGAGTCCCCGAAAAATATACCTGAACTAAGAAGTTTTCTTGGCATGGTCGGATACTACAGAAGGTTCATTGAGGGGTTTTCTCTGATTGCTGCATGATAGACCATTGATTGCACGTATTTTACCTCCATTCTTGAGTCGTTTGTGATGTTGATTCTCGTGTTTTAAGCCGATTTCACGCTAGGTTGTGTGTTTATGTCATATTTCAGGGCTTGGCGTTGACGTAGAGATGAAGAAACGAGTTTCGGGTCAAAAGGAGGACGTTTGAGTTGAAGGGTGTTGGAGGAGCAAAAATACCCAGCCATGAGCAATAATACCCGGCCGGGTAAAATTCTGAGGAGGTCGGGGAAAAGCACTTTTGGACGCAAAGAAGGCAGAAAGGGTCCCGGCCAGAGAGTGAAAATACTCGATCGGGTATTCTTGACCTCGATCAGGTATTATCCCCTGTACCTATGCACTGCGTTTCGAAATCCCCGGCCGGGCATCTGAAATACCGACTGGGGATTATGACCGGGGATCGCGAGCAGCTGACTTTTAAGGGAAAGAAGGCCAATTTTGAGAGGGTTTCGAGTTTTAGAGAAAGAAAGTGATACCTAGAGAGAAAGCGACGAACCAGAATTCCCAAGCCCTTAGATCGATCTTTATCATCAGTGGAGCCCGGATAACGCTTGGAGAAGTGTCGATTGACGACCAGAAGCAAAACTTCATTCTTCACAGCATGTTTTCTGTTTCTGAGCTAGAGTTTGCTTATCTCTCCATGGAGTAACTTCCACATTCACCTGGGTATGAAGAACCCTAGATTTGTATGTTAGGTCTGATTGTATGAACCCAAGTATGAATCCATTGATTTGATTATATTCAATTGAGGTCTGATTTGTTGAATGACATGAATCCTGATCAAATTCCTGTTGTTTCTGCTTTGACCTAGAAAGAGAATATCTGCCTAGGTTGATAGAGCAACCTTGATTGAAAGTAGTGAATTGACGAATTTAGTCGAGGAGTCAATTCACTATTTCGTACCAGATTTACTTCGGTAGAGGAGGTTTGGTTCGTTAGGGCCTCAATCTGTTTACTCCGGTGGAGGTTAGTCACCCGTTGGGACTCAGATTGAGAGGTTCTGCAGACTGTTTAAGAACCTCCTGCAGTAACTATCTTTGAATTCGAA